GCATGGTGGCTCACCCCTTGTAATCCCAGCACTTTGGGAGGCCGAGGCGGGCAGATCATGAGGTCAATAGATCAAGACCATCCTGGCCAACATGGTGAAACCCCGCCTCTACTAAAAATAAACAATTAGCTCGGTGTGGTGGCACGCGCTTGTAGTCCCAGCTACTCGGGAGGCTGAGGCAGGGGAATTGCTTGAACCCAGGAGGTGGAGGTTGCAGTGACCCGAGCTCTCGCCATTGCACTCCAGCCTGGCTCCCAGCGACGGAGCGAGACTCTGTCTCAAAAAACAAACAAACAGAAAAAAGAACTGGCTAGTTTGAATAATGTCAGCAGGCTTTAGGTTATAGGGGTGGTCTCTGGTTGCCTGGTATCTGGCCCTGGGATGATGAAGGCAGAGGAATCCTGAGAACCGAGGTGTGGCTGTGGGTGGATTTGTTTGCATATCAAAGGCAAGCTCCCCACTGGACCCTTCCTTATCTTCAAGAACTGGCTAGACCCTGAAAGAGCAGCCTTTTCGCAGACCGAAAGGGCCCTGTTGATTTATTTATTTATTTTTTTTTTTTGATGCTGAGACAATATACAGAAAATTTTAAAATATTATACAAGCTATAGGTACCTTTAAAACATTTTTTTTAGATTTTTTAATAGTTACTGTTAGAACATAGGTGACTTTTAAGACAGAAGAGATGGTTGGAGAAGAAAGGAACATGATACCCTGGTAAATGTGAGGCTTCATGCCACCTGAATTAATTCTCTCTGAATATAATTTATTTGAGAATAAACCTCTTGAGTCCAAGCTACTGTAGTCTTTGCCGCAACCAACCTGACTGGTGTAAATATAAACTGACAGTTCATTAAAAATACATATTTTTTAATATGTAAATATTTCTAGAGTTATCTATATTATTTTTATATATATACACACTAAAAGATATTTCACCTAATTCCCAATGTAAATGCAATTAACAACAATGAAATTTTTTCACCTATAAAATGGGAATTTTCTAAAAATTTGAAATAACTGTTAGCTAAATGAGGGACATTCAGTATTTTGCTGATGGCAATGTAATTTTTTTTGAGACAGAGTCTGGCTCTGTTGCCCAGGCTGGATTGCAGTGACCTGATTTCGGCTCACCACAACCTCCACCTCCTAGGTTCAAGCAATTTTGCTGCCTCAGCCTCCCAAGTAACTGGGACTACAGGAGTGTGCCACCACCCAGCTAATTTTTTTTTTTTTTTTTTTTTTTAAGCAGAGTCGAGGTTTCACCATATTAGCCAGGATGGTCTCGATCTCCTGACCTCGTTGATCCGCCCACCTCAACCTCCCAAAGTGCTGGGATTACAGGCATGAGCCACCCCGCCCAACCCCGTTCAACTTTTAAGAATTTGTCCCAATATACTTATTCATCAAGTGTGCCATATTACTTGCAGTGTTGTTTATAATAGCAAAATACTGGAAATGACCTAAATGCTTACCAATATGGAAATGGTTACATGAATTATGGTAAATTATACAACAGCATACTGCATCACCTTAAAGGAATGAGGAAATTATGCATGGATATGGAAACATCTCTGAGACAGCTAAACAGAAAAGGTAAGGGACAGTACGCTACCATTTAGTAAAAAGTTAGAAGGGGAGGCCAGGTGCCGTGGCTCACGCCTGTAATCCCACCACTTTGGGAGGCTGGGGTGGGCAGATCTCCTGAGATTGGGAGTTCGAGACCAGCCTGACCAACATGGAGAAATCCCGATTCTACTAAAAAAAAAAAAAAAAAAACAAAAAACAAAAAACAAAATTAGCCAGGTATGGTGGCACATGCCTATAATCCCAGCTAATCCAGAGGCTGAGGCAGGAGAATCACTTGAACCCAGGAGGCAGAGGTTCCAGTGAGCCAAGATCGCCATTGCATTGCAACCTGGGCAACAGAGAGAGACTCAGTCTCAAAAAAAAAAATAAAAATTTAAAAATTAATAAAAAAAATAAAAGCCTTACCAACAACTTCCATACCCTCGCTATCTGCCTAAATCATTTCTTCTTAACTCCTATATCAAAAGTAAAGTCCCTCACTTCTACAGAAGCTGCATATTTAGAAGGGAAGAGAGTAAGGAAAGGAGACAAATATTAAAATTGTTTTAGGAAAATGAAATGTTTGAAATTAACTTAGAAAACAAGGGATACCAACTTTGGTGAGAAGAATTAATTATTTAATGGCTGAGTTCAAAAGCAGACAGAAAATGACATCATTTAGAGAGTGACACCGAATTTCTTCTCCTTTTATAAGTATGCAGAGCACATTACCTTTAAGAATTCAAGATAGCCCTGAGATTGCCTTTCCACAAAGGATTAACTTTTACTTCTCTGCCTTTACTTTGGGAAATTGAGAACCAACTGACATATTTTATGGTGCAATGGAACCCATGAGAAGGGCCTTACAGTATAAATCTGGCATGTATCTGAATCAATAATAAGATGCTACTGGTACCTCTGCATGTATTCCCAAGATGCAAAACCCCTGAGAGACTGCTTCCATGGTGCAAAACTAAGGAAAAGTGTCAACCAAAGATGACTCTATGGTACATGCATCCAAACTGAGTTCTCATCTGAGGACAAACCTGAAACCAGCCAGGACTCTGCAAGTGGCTGTCACTCCAGTGTCTCCTGCTACAGAAGCTGCCAGAGGGGTTATCAGCAGTTCTAGTCAAGCACGTTGCTTAACCATCCATGGAAACAGATTCAAATATTCAACACATAGCTCAGCATCCAGATATTGGAAGATGAGAGATCAACAGCAAAGGTTGTCTGCTGGGCAAATGTGAGCTCACAGATCTCAGCCACTCCTGTTGGTTCATGAAGAATGCCGCACCCCCTCAATAGAGCTGCTTTTGGCAGGAAGGTGAATAGAAACAACAGAACAAGATTGCTCTCACAGAGCAGAAAGTGAGCAAGTAAGATGTGAAATTCAGAGGGTCCTTGCTGGCACTGTGACTATAAGCTTTCTTTGGCTCTTCCTGCGGATTCTCAAGTTTAACTTTCAAAGAATTCAATTATATTTGAAGGTGGAATCTATGAAGATCCACCATTGAAGGAGAACAGTCTGTTGCATCCAGGTGGCTGTTAAATCGCAAGGCCTAATTGATAGCTAAAACGGTCTGATGACATTTTAAAAATTACATTGGATTGCTATACAAATGGGCATTCTGAATATGTAAATGTGAGCACAGGAGAACGACTTTATCAATACATGTTCTCTAAAGCAGCACTATCCAACAGAGCTCCTCCAAACCGCGATGGGAATGTTTTATACCTGTGCCGTCCAATATGATAGCAACTAGCCACATGTGGCTACTGAACCCTTGAAATGTGGCTGCTGTGACTGAGGAAGTACTTTTTTTTTTTTTTTAACAAGGAAACCAAAGAAATCAGGAAGTGACTTTTTATTGGATTGAATTTTAATCAGTTTAATCATTTTTTAAGTTTTATTCTTTGGGGGGGAATGAGGACCCAGGCAGGAGTGCAGTGGCACAATCATATAGCTCACTGCAGCCTTGACCTCCCAGACACAAGCCATCCTCTCACCTCAGCTTCCCAAGTAGTTGGGACCCCTAGGCATGCACCAGTGCACCTGGCCCAGTTTACATTTAAATAGCCACAGTGGGTAATGGCTACCATATTGGACAGTTCCATTTTAAAGACTAAAATATTTGTGTGTGTGTATATAGAGACGGGGTCTCGCTGTATTACCCAGGCCGGTCTTAAACTCCTGCCCTCAAGCAATCCTCCTGCCTTGGCCTCCCAAAGTGCTGGAATTATCGGCATGAGTTACCATGCCTTGCCAAAACTCTATTTGTAAGTGATCACCCACAAAAAGGATATAAAACATGACACTGCAGTACTGTATCCAGCTTCTGATTTGAGTGTGTTCGTTACATGAAAACATCTTTGAGCAACAGAGATTATTTTCTTAATTTTATTTACTTTTTTTTTTTTTTCGAGATGGAGTCTAGCTCTGTCACCCAAGCTAGAGTGCGGTGGTGCAATCTCGGCTCACTGCAACCTCTGACTCCCTGATTCAACTGATTCCCCTGCCTCAGCCTCCTGAGTAGCTGGGACTACAGGTTCCTGCCACCACGCCTGGCTAATCTTGTATTTTTAGTAGAGATGGGGTTTCACCATCTTGGCCAGGCTGGTTTCAAACTCCTGACCTCGTGATCTGCCCGCGTCGGCCTCCGAAAGTGCTGGGATTCCAGGCGTGAGCCACCAAGCTCCACCTAACCACACTCTATAGTCCACTTAGGGTCACCAGCATGAGCACAGGACTCCCAAAGCTGTTAGGATGATGATCATATGATCTACCTACTGTGAACTTAATGGACATTTTCTCAGCAGAGTGAGATTGGGGTTTATGAAGAAAAAAAATGGCCCTCTGGCCCCCTAATTAAAGATGAAATGGCATCTCTGGAACAAAGGCCATGCTTCTTATTCCCCAACCCCAGCAGCAAGGTCAGTCCAAGTGAAGGCCAGTGCCTTATCTTTCCAATCACATCTAGTTCATTTCTTTTGCCAGTGAAAATTGAAAGCTTAATGGAATTACTTTCTCCTTTTTTCAAAGCACTCAAGGGTGCTACAAGACATAAAGCAAAAATGTCCTTTTGAGTAAAACCAATTTCCTTATAAATTATATCACAAAAGCACATTCAACAAACTCCCTAAAGGCAGAAACACAGTCAAGACTGATACCTTGCCGCCAGCTCCCTCTCTACTATAAGCTAATTCAGCCAGCCCCTGGAGTCATAATTTGTAACTCCTCTTTTTTTCCTTTCTTACCAAGGTTTAGTAAGTGCTCCTGTTACAAACAGATTCTAACTGGGAACTAGGGGGTGTGGGTGAGGATCCCATGGGAAAATCCTTTTTATGTTTTAGATAAACATTAAAAGGTAACTGCACCACCAAATCTGTGGATCTTCTGTGCAAAGCAGCTGCTGGCTTCAAGCGACTCCATGTCAGATGAGACCACCTTGATGGTTGAAACCATCTCTGCACAGGAAATAAAGGTGGGCAGAGAGAAGAATATAAGAGACATGGTGCTGAAAAGTGGCTCATGGATTATGTGGGCCGCCACGTACTCAACAGCCAAGCCCGTGAAAAATAGCAACGCGCAAGGAACGAGTCCCAGGTAAGGAGGGAAGGAACCTTCCTTCCTTCCTGCCTGAAAGGAAGAGCTGAGCTCCTGTGGGGCTGAGGAGCTGTGAGCCACCCGCCTCCCTCCATTGCTCAGTTCGCCATGGCAATAGGGCAGGCTCCATGTATCACCGGCACTCCTCGTTCTGCCGGGGTAGCAATTGTGGGATTCCAAGGATGTGCTGATGGCTGCAGAAGTCAAAGTCGGGCTGGAATTTCTACCCTCTAAACCGAAACGCTTCTTTCCTGTGATTTATTTACCCATGAGACAGATGTGTGGGGTTGCCATATTATCAGTCATTCCCTATAATAAAACAAAGTGAGTGAAGCTTTCAAGAAGAGGGTATCACCGAGGAAATGCTTCCCATGAGAAAGCTGTAATAATCTCTCCCACCATCTAAAGCTACCCAGTGGCTTAGGCCTGAAGAAAAAGACCTCAAAACGTTTAAAATCAAAATCTTGGCCTTTGATCCTTATGCCAGGGAATGCATTTTTGCCTTTTCTTCTTAAAAAAAAAAAAAAATCCTGTGTTTTGGATTATTTCTTTGATTCCTCCCTTAGCTCGCGGTCTCCCTGTCTGTCTCTCTGTGTCTGCGTCTCTGCTGGCCCTACCCTCCTCTCCTCTCTCCCCAGCCCCAACACACTCTTCAGTGGGGGTGGGGGGGGGGGGGTTGGTCCTGGAGCTGGGTGTCTGGTGGAATATTCCAGGTGTCCTCATCCAGAAATGGTATTCCCAACTACTCCCCATAAACTCCCATCTGAAAAGCCTTTTTTTATTTTTTTTAAGAAAGAGTCTCAGTCTGTTGCCCAGGCTGCGGTGCAGTGCCGCGATCAAGGCTAACTGCAGCCTTGACCTCCTGGGTTCAACAGTCCTCCCACCTAAGCCTCCTCAGTAGCTGAGATGACAGGCACGCGCCATCATGCCCTGCTAATTTTTAAACATTTTTTGTAGAGACGGGATTTTGCCCTGCTGCCCTGGGCTCAAGCGGTCCTCCCACCTTGGCCTCCCAAAGTGCTGGGATTACAGACTTGAGCCACTGCTCCTGGCCATTGTTTTTTGTTTGTTTTGGACTTTTCTTTCTCTAGTTTGAGTTATACTAAATCGTAATCAGAATTCTGGGATATAAAAGAGGACATCACTGCTGAATCAGCATGAGGAAAAAGATAAATTATTTAGATTCAGATTTTTTTTTTTTTGAGACCCAGTCTCTTTCTGTCACCCAGGCTGGAGTGCAGTGGTGCGATCTCAGGTCACTGCAACCGCTGCCTCCTGGGTTCAAGCAGTTCTCCTACCTCAGCTTCCCGAGTAGCTGGGACTACAGGTGTGCACCACCACGCCCGGCTAATTTTTGTATTTTTAGTAGAGACAGGGTTCCACCATGTTAGCCAGGCTGATCTCGAACTCCTGACCTCAAATGATCCACCCACCTTGGCCTCCCAAAGTGGTAGGGATTACAGATGTGAGCCACTGCACCCAGCTAGATTCAGATTCTTAAAGGCTGAAATATACTTTTTATTTGCCTAAAATTAATACACATGTGCTCTACCCTATTATATTTAAAAACCAATTACAGATTTACTGAGTGAGTTCTCACAGCCCATTTTGTGTTTGGCTATTACAATAAAAGATATTGTGGGCCAGGCTCTGCGGCTCATACCTGTAATCCAGCACTTTGGGAGCCTGAGATGGGTAGATCACTTGAGGTCAAGAGTTCAAAACCAGCCTGGCCAATATGGCAAAACCCCATCTCTACTAAAAATACAAAAATTAGCCAAGCATAGTGGTATGCACCTGTAATCCCAGCTTCTCAGGAGGCTGAGGCAGGAGAATCACTTGAACTGGGAGGTGGAGGTTGCAGTGAGCCAAGATCACGCCACTGCACTCCAGCCTGGATGACAGAGCAAGACTGTCTAAAAAAAAAAAAAAGCTGGTGGGGGCTGGGGTTGGTGGGGAGGGGTACAGATGTTGTATGGGAAGTGTATTTCCAAGTCAAGTTACTATGTTTTATTTTGTAAATGTTGAGCTTGAAATGATGGCAGGAGTTTAACATGTAAATTTCTTATAGGCAGCTGATAATATGAATCTCAAAGTAGGGTGACCTTGAACTCCTTACCTTAGGGAAAAGGGGTATGTGTAGGTGGACAAGCCAATGGTCAATGGCTGCAGTTTGGAAACACTCACAGAGAGCTCACTGCATCAGGAAGTAGCTTTTTTTTTTTTTTAACCTTTGGTAACAGGGCAGGAGGCGAGGGTCAGAATAAGTCCTGAAGCTGAGAGGAGTTTCCAAAAGTAGAAGTCGACAGTCTCTATTACAGCAGAGAGAAGAACTGAGAAAGAACCATTTCCCAATCTCTCCTCACATCCCCACAATCCCACTGAATCCCTGAATGGGACCTTCCATTTGACATTCAGAGAGATTCTGCTCAAAATGCTTTGGAACCAAACCAAGAAGTTCTTGGCAGCCATCCTGGTCCTTTTCCCCCTTCTGTTAAGAAAAAAAAAGAAAAAGAAAAAGCAATTTCTCTTCAGGAAAAGAATGCAAAGATCTTGCAGACCCAGTCAGACTAAAAATTTCTGTGTTCTCACTATAATGAATGCAACGATGTGTAAATCCTGCAGGCGATCATATAGGGATTGCCATATAAAAAGCATGTCTTTAAAATCATATAAAAATCTCATGGAACAATGCATGACATTTGATGGATAAATATGACAGTGTTTTCCTTACACTGATTTTTCTTGTGCAAAATAAGAGCAGATCATTTCTGAGAACAGTCACGTATCACTTTCCCCTCCTGTGCCGTTCATGTCATTGTGCACGGAGAACTCACATCCTGGTATGAGGAGCAATTTCGGCAAGTGCTTGCTGCTGTGAACGCTGACGAGCATCTCCGTTTGCTATTTGGATTCACTTCTTGGCTGGTCATTCCCTCTGCGATTTTTTTCCATCACTAATAATTTTCTCTGCTTCTTACATTACACCTCTCACTCTGGGCGTATGGCCACAGAGAGGAAAGAAACACACGTTGTTGATTCTGCAGTTCTTGTGATGTCTATTAACTCTGCTGGGGATTTCTCAAGATCGAGAACATGGGGTGACTTTTAAAAATGTTTCCTTCCCAACAGGACAAAATAGAGGAGAAGTACCTGGAACTGTTTGTGTTTCTCCATTGCGGTACAAAAACACCCAGGAGCCAGACAATCCTTTGCTGATCCTCAGAGACAGCAAGTCCAGACCACAGATTCGTGTGTCTCAAATTGCAGATGCGGGGAGACTAAAGCTGCCCTCACAGTGCTGGCTTCCTCATGGGCTGGGAGACCTGGGAGGGGCGCATTATCTGATGTGACTTAAGTCCCCTGCCCCCATGACCCATGCTTGCACATTTTCCACCTGTTCCTTCCGTTCTGAGTTGATCAGTTATCACACACAACCACAAAAAAGAAAGGGACGGTCAGAGATGCCACAGGGTCCCCACCTGTGCAGTGTTAGGCAGCATGGAGGGTGGGGCTGTCCACGCAGTCTTGCCGCCAGCTCGGGTGCCCAGGCCCAGTCCTGCTCCTCGGCTTGTGGGTGACTCAGGCGTCTACGAGGATGCCACAGAGGGAGGTCCACCTATAGTCTCTCCCTCCCTCTCTTTTGCAATTATTCATGGAGAATACAAAGTGAACGTTTTCTAAGCATTTCTCCAGTTTCTTGCAGTGGTCTTTGAAAGGGGCCAATTAGTCTGGTGTTTCACATTGGTCAGCTTTGCACTGTTCAATCTTTTCCTGTGTCTGGTGATTTTCCCCCCACTTTTGTGGAGAATGGGGTCTTGCTATATTGCCCAGGCTGGCCTTGAACTCCTGGGCTCAAGCTGTCCTCCTGCCTCTGCCTCCCTAAGTGCTGGGATTACAGACGTGAGCCACCATCCCAGCTGATGTTTTGTCTATTGTGATCTTGTTTATCCTTAAAGAAGGAGGTCTGTGTGTATCTGATCATAGGAGTTAAGATGTGTCCTTGGCCAGCATGGTGGCTCACACCTGTCCCAGCACTTTGGGAGGCCGAGGTGGGTGGATCATGAGGTCAGGAGTTCAAGATCAGCTGGACCAACACGGTGAAACCCCATCTCTATAAAAAATACAAAAATTAGCCCAGTGTGGTGGCTCAAGTCTGTAATCCCAGCTACTCAGGAGGCTGAGGCAGGAGAGTTGAACCAGGGAGGTGGAGGTTGCAGTGAGCCGAGATTGTGCCATTGCACTCCAGCCTGAGTGACAGAGCAAGACTCCATCTCAAAAATTAAAAATAAAAATAAGAAAGATGTGTTAGTTTAGAATGGTGTGGAATCTTCTGCCAACCTTAGGGAGAAGGAAAGTATTTAGATTTTTTTTTTTTTTAACTCCTGACCTTGTGATCTTCCCACCTCAAGTGCAGGGATTACAGGCATGAGCCACCAAGCCTGGCCTTAATTTTTATTTTTATTTTTTTGAGACACAGTCTCACTCTGTTGCCGAGGCTAGAGTGCAATGGTGAGATCTTGGCTTCACCAAATCGGTCAGGCTGGTCTCCAACTCCTGACCTCAGGTGATCCACCTGCCTCAGCCTCCCAAAATGCTGGGATTACAGGTGTGAGCCACCACGCCCAGTTAATTTTTGTATTTTTAGTAGAGACAGGATTTCACCACGTTGGACAGGCCGGTCTTGAACTCCTGATCTCAGATGATCCGCCTGCCTTGGCATCCCAAAGTCCTGGGATTACAGACGTGAGTCACTAAGCCCGGCCAGAGTGTTCTAGCTCTTAGGCACCAACTCTTTCATCATAAATACATTAACGCCAGGGGAATAGCCCACCCCAGGAGATGGGACCCAACTCTGTACTGCTGCAGAGAACACCGTTCCTTCTGGCTTCTGAGAGAATGACACCTCCTGAGCCTGCAGGATGCGGCAGTACCACCAGGAGTCTGGCTTGGGATGATTCTCTGATTCTCACCACCCTGTGGACCAAGACCATCTCACACACCTGGCTCTCCAGGGATCTACTCTCCTGGGAACTGAGCAGATGTCTTATTTATTTATTTGGAGTCAGAGTTTCACTCTTTTTGTCCAGGCTGGAGTGCAATAGCACAATCTCAGCTCACTGCCATCTCCCAGGTTCAAGCAATTCTCCTGTCTCAGCCTCCCAAGTAGCTGGGACTACAGGAGTGTGCCACTACACTTGGCTAATTTATTTGGTATTTTTAGTAGAGACAGGGTTTCACCATGTTGGCCAGGATGGTCTTGATATCTTGACCTCATTAATCTCCCGCCTCTCAAAGTGTCTTGTGAGTTTGCCCCTTTTCTCCAGACAGTGTGGGTCCTTGACCTACTCCTGCTCTCCTAAAGGAGGGTCTCCTCTTCCACTCTTACCACGTAGGAGAGATGACACAAAGTTCATTTCTGGTAGGCTACTCCTTTATTTTTAAAATTTATTTATTTATTTATGACATGGGGTCTCACTATGTCACCTAGGCTGAAGTGCAGTGGCACATTCTTGGTACACTGACACCTCTGCCCTCCCAGGTTCAAGCGATTCTTCTGCCTTGGCCTCCCAAGTAGCTGGGATTACAGGCATGTGCCAACATGTCCAGCTAATTTTTGTATTTTTAGTAGAAATGGGGTTTCGCCGCAATGTCCAGGCTAGTCTCGAACTTCTGAACTCAGGTGATCCACCCACCTCGGCCTCCCAAAGTGCTGGGATTACAAGTGTGAGCCACTGCACCTGGCCTAGGTCGCTACTTTAAAAGGCACCCACCACACACGTGCCTCGAGCCCATCTGAAGTTATCCAGGGTGCTGGCCTTTCTCTACCTATGCAGCTGTCCTCCTGGAGGCCTGGATTGAGAGGGACCCAAGTTGTCCAGCAGCCCATCTGTGCTCAGGGTAAGCCCGAGCACATCAGCGAGGTCTCCCTAGCATGGGATCCAGCGTCTAGTAAGCTAAGAGGTGCCAGTGGGTAAAGCTGAGATGGTTCCCACTGCCCATGGCCTCCTCTCAGTCTTACCCCACTTAACCCCCACCAGAGAGTTTGACAGACTCCTCCTGGGGGTGCTTCCCTTCTCGCAGGCAGGATTCTTCGCTCATGACCTGGCTGGTCTTTCTTTTGCTCTGATCTTGGCCTTAATCTATGTTGAAGAAATTCCTTTAAGTTTCAGTCATGTGAATGACATTATCCCTTACCTACCAGGAATTGTATCGGCTTTAAAGTACACACACACACACACACACACACACACACTTTGGAATGTTTATACCAAAATGTATGGGTTTTTTAGGCCAGGCATGGTGGCTCAGGCCTGTAATCCCAGTACTTTGGGATGCCAAGGTGGGCAGATTGCGTAAGGCCAAGAGTTCATGTTGTTTGGGCAACATGGCAAAACCCCATCTCTACAAAAAATACAAAATTTAGCAGGGCGTGATAGGACTATACTTGTGAGGCTGAGGCAGGAGAATTGCTTGAGCCCTGGAGGTTGAGGCTGCAGTGAACCATGATCGCAGCACTGTACTCCAGCCTGGGCAACAGAGTGAGACCCCATCTCAAAATACATATGTATATATGGTTTTGAAAACCAGATTTCTTCAGGTCATTTCAATGGGAATTTAGAAGAAAAAGAGGCATTCTGGGCGTGATACATGGAGAATTCTTCTGGAATGTTTCATGGAATGCAGCCTCTGAAGCAGAAAAAACAACTCTGTTCCACAAGAAGCCCTGGTTGTTCACCATGTCTTAAATGCACTTACCACTTCCAGGGCACCACAGTCTCACGCAAGAGTGCTGCTGCGTTGAACTGAAGAGCAGGCAGTTAGAAAACATGCCTTCTAGGAAGACGCCATCTCGGAGAGACTTGTTTGAGTAAATGGAAAAATGAAACCTTTAGTGAAAGCAAGTGAGTATTAAACATATGTATGCTTTAGGACTAAAAAATAGGCCAGGCACAGTGGCTTATGCCTGGAATCCCAGGACTTTGGGAGGCCAAGGTGGGTGGATCACTTGAGTTCAGGAGTTCGAGACCAGCCTGGCCAACATGGTGAAAACCTGTCTCTAGTAAAAATACGAAAGTTAACCTGGCATGATGGCAGGTGCCTGTAATCTCGGCTGTTCAGGTGGTGGAGACAGGGGAATCACTTACACCTGGGAGGAAGATATTGCAGTTGAGTCATGAGGGCAGAACCCTCGTGAATGGGGATAATCCTATTGTAAAAGAGAACTGTGGGAGTTTGCCTGCCCCTTTTCTCCTTCCGCTGTGTGAGAATGCAGCAAGCAGGTGCCCTGTATGAGGCAGAGGCCTTTGCCAGGCCCTGAAACTGTTGGCACCTTGATGTGGAACTTCCCGGCCTTCACAACTGCGAGCAATAACATTCCGCTTTTTGTCCCCCCCTTTTTTTTTTGAGACAGAGTCTCTGTCACTCAGGCTGGAGTGCAGTGGCATGATCTCGGCTCACTGCAACTTCCACCTCCTGGGTTCAAACTATTCTCCTGCTTCAGTTTCCAGAGTAGCTGGGATTACAGGCACCTGACACCACACCCAGCTAATTTTTCTACTTTTAGTAGAGACAGGGTTTTACCTTGTTGACCAGGCTGGTCTTGAACTCTGACCTCAAGTGACCTGCCTGCCTCGGCCTCCCAGAGTGCTGGGATTACAGGTGTGAGCCACCACACCTGGCCATATTCCCATTTTTATAAATAACCCAGTCTAAGGTATTTTGTTATAGCAGGCCAAAGGGACTAAGGCGGTGTATTCAGAAGGGAGAGCATGGGGTTTGGGTTTAGATTTTTGACCTTGCAGAGAGATGAACTGTGTCTTCCCTTCATCTGCAGACTTGGGCAGGTTCTGAGGAAATTCTATAGTGTCAGTGGATGATGTGGTATTGAAATAACACAGAACGTGGAATTCCTTAACCCTTGCTTTGCTTCTGTCTTCTCAAAACAACATTTTTCAAATCAAAAAGAACAAATCAACCCTATAAGGAGATCGTATGAGATGATTTTTCATAGTAAGGAAAATTGAAAGAATTTGTGGAGGTGACTGAGAAATGTTTTGGATGATCTCTGAGGAATCATGAAAAATAATAGAGCCACAGAGATGGGAAAATGTCATTCTAATTTTCAAAAAGAAAAAGAACGTGGATTCGACAACCTGTAGGTCAATAAGCTGGAGACTGATTCTTGGTGAGAGTCTTGAGATTGCTAGAAGGTGGTTTCTGAGCTCTGCGAAGCCTAGAGGCAGTGGTTACAAAGAGCCAGCACCATGTCACTAAAAACAAACTGTGTTAGCCTGACTTCATCTCCTTTTCTGATAGGATTACTCCCCTGGCAAACTTAGAGATACAGGATGGATATGGTCCCTCTACACTTCAGAAAGGAATCTGACATAGTCACTTGGGTCACCTGGGGATAGGGTAGAGAGGCAGAGTGTCACTGGCAGTTTTTTTCAAAGAACAGAAACAAATTCTAGTGAGTTTAAACCGAAAAGGGAATTTATTCAAGGATAAGGGCCAGTCAGGCTCGGATATCCTAAAGCTGATATGTGATTAATGGATCTCAGATGCAGAGCCGCATCCGCAGTCACAGCACTGGTCTTCAGAGGGCACGACGGCTTGTCCATGTGGGCACGAACACCGAGGTTTGCTCTGCAAACACAGCTCACACTAACGCTAGTGTCCTGAAAAGGGTATGAAGCTGGCCCCATCCTCTGCCAGAATGGAGTCCTTAAAGTCCCAGATTTTTGCCTCTCCAGCTCCTGAGTCAAAGTTCAGCCTGGTGCCTCTGTTTGGTGGAGGCTGGGTCACAAGCCCACACCTTAGCTGTGGAGGGTGCTAAGAAAGCCAGGTGCTGACCTGTTTCACTTCTCAGAGGAGGAGGTGGTCTCTGCCTTCTGAAAGACTCACGAAGTAGGTAATTCTCCCACACAGAAAGGGGGTTTGGATGATGAGCTGCCATTTAGAATGGCTAATGTCATCCTCACAGGGGTTGAGGGATAGGGTGATTGTGTGGGTTTTTAACGGGTTGAAGGATCATAGCCAAAGCTTGCTGATTAATCGATTCTTTTTAATCCAGAGGACTGTTTTTAGTGGGATATCACAGGACTGCATTTTCGTGCCACATGAGGTTTTTGGGGGTCTTTTTGTTGTTCTTTTTTTAATCAGTGGCTTGGCTGAAGACCAAAAGTAGGCTTATCGTATTCGCAGGTGACACAGAGCATGAGTGGAATGCTAATACATTCAAGGGCAAAATCAGAATCCCGGAAGATCTCCCAAAGTCTGAACGAATCAGCCCATATTACAAGATAAAGTCCGTCATGGTAAGCGGAAGGCTCTGGTCTTGGTTTATAAAATCCAACCACTCAAATATGTAGTTGCCGCTAAGAAAAAAGCCATAATTTAATGTGGTTGCCAAGAAAGCTCATTAAATCCTCAGCTGCATTCATAGATGTACAGTATTTGGAACAAAGCCTTTTGCCTCAGTCTGCCCTGGACAGACCACAGCTGAGCCCTGTGCCAAGCTGTGTGCACCACAGTTTTCAAAGGACAAGTTGGAGGCTGTTGAGAGGGAGCAGCCCCATGGCAGAGGGAGAGTGATACCACTGCAGGAGCTCAGCCGTGAACAGGGGCCATGTGGGGAGCGATGACGGTGGCCACCAATTAGCACAGAGCTTCCACAGGGAAGATGGGTGCAGTTTATCCCACAGGTGTCAAGCCATGAAATTAGGGACAATCAATTTAAATTACAGGGAATCTTCCATCAAAGAAAGGGTTTCCATCAGAGTAAGCCAAAAATGGATGAGTCTATGCTTTGAGGGAGCAAGTTACCTCCCTGACACCGAAGGTGTTCAGATTCGAGGCTGATGGCCAGCATCCAAGGCGGCCTCAGGCTAGGCTTAGTCTAAATGAACATTCAGCCTTAAGGATCTTTTTTTTTTTTTTTTTAATGAAAACCTAAGGCATTGCAAAGGAGAGCTAAGCCAGGTGTTGTGGCGTGCGCCTATGCTCTTGGCTACTCGGGAGAAGTGAGGGGGTCTTTTGGGCCCTGAAGATAGAGGCTGCAGTGAGCCATGATTGCACTACTGCCCGGGTGACAGAGTGAGACTCTGTCTCTAATGCTAAAAGAAAAACCATAGAGACATTTTAAAACAGTTTAATTGAGCAAAAAATGATTTGTGAAGAGGGCAGACCCCAGAACAGAATGGGTTCAGAGACGCTCCAGCTTAGGCACGTGGTGGAGGAAGATTTGTGGACAGAAAAAGGAAAGAGATGTGTGGGAAACAGGAGCGAGGCACAGAAAGAGTCAGGCTGGTTACAGCTCGGTGAATGCCTTATTTGCTCTGGTTTGAAGAGCTGCCCGCCTTTGGCTGGAACTCGGCGACTGGCACAAGAGTAGGCAGCCGTCTGTTTACACATCCAGTCAAGCGACAGTGCGCTATGCCTCACAGAGCTTTAGGCGGAATGGAAATCACAAGGAGTCAGCTTCAGGGTAAACTTAATTTTACACTAAATAAACAAAAAAATTTTTAAAGGTAATATAAATTAGCTCTAATGTGCACATGAACATTTAAAAAACATTTTTAGTTTTTTTAAAAGAGGAAGTTTTCAGCCCAGTGTGGTAGGTCACGCCTGTAGTCCCAGCACTTTGGGAGGGCCAGGCAGGGAGGATCACTTGAGGTTGGGAAGTTCGAGACAAGCCTGGCCAACCTGGTGTAACCCCGTCTCTACTAAAAATACAAAAAAAATTAGCCGGTGTGGCGCCTGTAATCCCAGCCACTTGGGAGGTTGAGGCAGATTCGCTTGAACTGGGGAGGTGGAGGTTGTGATGAGCTGAGATCACGCCACTGCACTCCAGCCTGGGCAACAAGAGCGAAACTCCGTCTCAAAAAAAGAGAAAGGCTTGTGGGCATCAGGCTGCTGATAAAGATTGCTTGGGATGCACACAGGCAGCTGCGAAGCTGAGAGGAGAGGGGCTGCCAGGCAGGCTCACCACGGCACGAATCTTCCTGGGCCTGTTTGGTTTGGCCTCTGTGAGCCTGGGCCACAGCCACGGGAAAGAAATTGCTAGGAAGTCAGTTTCTCTCTGAAGGAAGGACTCCAAACAGAGCTGAGGCTGCGGGATTTTCTGGCTGCCCACACAAGCCAACAAGCTCTTCCCTGGGGGCAACCACTAATCTCTAACCAGACAACGGTAATCTCTTATTCATTCTTGGGCTACACCCAATTTATAGCAGAACTTAAACAACATCCTCATTTTGCCTACAGGGTTTGTGCTGCTTTTATTTCAGTTCCTCATGAATCGTTAGAGTCATGGATACCTGTAACCACAGCTTCCTTGTAGAGCAGGGAGAGGCGAACAAGTGAAATTACTCCAGAGAAAGCAAACAGGGACGTTTTGCTCTGGGGCGCGTGGAGGGCCACCTTCTGAGTCTCTCACTAACATGCCAGGAGGTAAATAATTCAGAGGCCTAACAAAGGGAGACCGAGTAGTCAAACTGGTTGGACACCTGGTCGGCTGCACCCAGCTAGACAGGGCTGGGGTCTGTGAGGTGTTCCTCATCATTATAGAAGACATTTAAAGAGAACTCCTAGCAAATGTTGCATTAGAATTTTCTGCTTCCAAGATACCACTCAGAGTAGGGGTTGGGGAGAAATGAGGGAAAGAACAGATAACTATACTACTTATTATATTGCCTTAGAGTATACATCATGAAAGTCATTAGGATTTTTTTTTTTTTTTTTTTTTTTTTTGAGACAGAGTCTTACTGCGTCACCCAGGCTGGAGTGCAGTGGTGTGATCTCGGCTCACCGCAACCTCCGCCTCCTGAATTCAAGTGATTCTCCTGCCTCAGCCTCCTGAGTAGCTAGGACTACAGGCATGTGCCACCATGCCTGGCTAATTTTTGTATTTTTAGTAGAGATGGGGTTTCGCCATATTGGCCAGGCTGGTCTCAAACTCCTGACCTCAGGTGATCCACCCTCCTCAGCCTCCCAAAGTGCTGGGATACAGGTGTGAGCCACCACGCCTGGGCTAATTATGATATTTAAGATGACATTGAGGCCATCAGTGTTCATGTCTTGGTGTCCTCTGTGAGAGATCAGTTATCTCTCACCTGAATACTTCCCCAGATTAGATATCTGGAAGCTCAAAATAGTGCTCATTGCTGTCTGGACCTTGCCATCACACCCCACCAAATGTAGGCAGATTGTCAGTATACAAGGCTGCCTCTGGTGGGAACATTTGGGAACATAGGAGGGCAGGGATTTCTTTCTTTCTCTTCCTTCCTTCCTTCCTTCCTTCCTTCCTTCCTTCCTTCCTTCCTTCCTTCCTTCCTTCCTCCCTCTTTCTTTCTTTCTTTCTTTCTTTCTTTCTTTCTTTCTTTCTTTCTTTCTTTCTTTCTCTCTCTCTCTCTTTCTTTCTTTCTTTCTTTCTTTCTTTTCCTTTTCTTTTTCTTTCTTTCTGACAGATTTTCGCTCTTGTTCCCCAGGCTGGAGTGCAATGGCACGATCTTGGCTCACTGCAACCTCTGCCTCCCGGGTTTAGGTGATTCTCCTGCCTCAGCCTCCCGAGTAGCTGGGATTACAGGCATCCACCATCACGCCTGGCTAATTTTGTATGTTTGGTAGAGATGGGGTTTCTCCATGTTGGTCAGGCTGGTCTCGAACTCCCAACCTCAGGTGATCCGCAAAGGGCAGGGATTTCTAATGTGTAGCGGGTTTTAAGTTTACAGTGATATCTCGGAGGTGCAAAAATGAAACATTTCTCTACTTATAAAGCAGTGGAAAACTCTTAATCTTGGCACTGTAGGATAATTGATACCCTCCTGCTTTCAGAGCTTCTTTAGGGGAATTCCTCAGTCAATCCAGGGTTTGAATTCCATCATCAGCACAGCTCTCCCGCCTCCTCCTCTGGATGAGCCTCAGGTCTGTCCCAGGCTTCCTGCTCTCCAGCCCACCTTGGCCTTGGAGACATCTTGTTGCCTTGGTGGTGGGTGTCAGTCTTGGTTGCTGTTGCCTTCACCATGGGCCCAGGTTGTCAACTGCTCTCAGGCAGCAAGAGGTGGCTGCTCCCGGCCGGCCCAGCCCCGTCGTTCAGTGGCAGTGCTGCTCTGGCCAAGGAAGGCTTCATTCTCTGCCACCTCCCGAGCCTCTCATCAGGCAATCCAGGCTCTTTCCCTGATATCCCCACACAGGAAGGAAGTGGGGGGTGACTCAGGTGGGGTGGTTCTTGGAGGCCCATTTTCAGTCCTGCTCTGCCCTGCCTGCCTTCCACTCTGCTTCTCTCCCGTCCCGTGTTCTTGTGGTGCCAGCAGCAAGGGTTTTAGAAGAAATGAGGGCCAAGCCCTTCTGCCCTTACTCCTGTACACTGCCCCCTGCCAGTGGAATGTCTGCTACAGAGGCAGAGCCACCGTGCCCTCAGGAATGAGTGCACCTCTGTCTGTGGCTCTCACAACGCCTCTCCTCCCCTATATCTGCTCCCCAGCTCCCTGGGTGCTGAGTCAGGAAGCTTCCCCTGCCCCTCCCCAATAAGCTTTTGCAGTCCCAGGATAGTTAATTTTTCAATGTTTATTACCAAAAAATTTTAGTTGAGGAATGGGGTCTTGCTGTGTTCAGGCTGGCCTCGATCTCCTGGGCTCAAGCGATCCTCCTGCCTCAGCCTCCTGAGAAGCTGGGTGTGTGTGCCACCACACCTGGCCAGAAAGGCAATCGATATTACTTTCTTTTGTGGTGAAAAAAAATGACCTGCATCCTTTAGAGCAGGGTGTCCAATCTTCTGACTTTCCTGGGCCACACTGGAGGAAAATAATCATTTTGGGCCACATATAAAATACACTAACACTAATGATAGCTAATGAGCTAAAAAAAAAATCTCAAAAAGTCTCATAATGTTTTTTTTTTTGAGATAGAGTCTCGCTCTGTCACCCAGGCTGGAGTACAGTGGTGCAATCTTGGGTCACTGCAACCTCCTCCTGGGTTCAAGTGATTCTCCTGCCTCAGCCTCCCGATTAGCTGGGATTATATGCACCAACCGCCATGTCCGGCTAATTTTTGTATTTTCTTAGTAGAGATGGGGTTTCACCGCGTCTGGTTTCGAACTCCTGACCTCATGTGATCCACCCACCTCAGTCTCCCAAAGTGCTGGGATTACAAGTGTGAGCCACCACCCCCAGCCTCATGATGCTTTAAGAAAGTTTATGAATTTGTGTTGGGCTGCATTCAAAGCCATCCTAGCCACAGATTGGACAAGCTTGCTTTACTGTAACACCTATAAATGCTGTGCTCTGTCCTCCAAGGTTTCACTCTCATCTTCGGCATTTATGCTATCGGAACGCCAGGCGTGTGGGAGTTATTTACATCCTAATGCTCAAGGCACTGCCAATGTCTGATTTCTCAAATTAAAAAATTGCCACCTTAGCCATAAATGGGTTCAAACTAAGCCATTTTGAAATTCAAAACAACACTACCTCTCTCTCCTGCGACTAGCTCTTTCAAGCCCCTGTGACTTCAGATGTTGTGAATTACCCATCCGCTGGCACCTCCTGGCTGCTTTGTTCTCTCTGTTTTCACTTTTTCCTTAAGTAATGAATGCCACTGAACCAATGGGGGCAGAGTCAATAACGTTGAAGAAAAAGAACCTCACTTTAAAATGCTAACATATTATTTTAATTTTCGATGACTCATATGACTTCACTTCAAATAAATGAAGATAAAAATATGTGAATAAAATTCAAGATGACAGGCCGAATGTGGTGGATGACACCTATAATCCCAGCACTTTGGGAGGCTGAGGTAGGCGGATCATGAGGTCAGAAGATGGAGACCAGCCTGGCCAACATGGTGACACCCTGCCTCTACTAAAAATACAAAAATTAGCGGGGCGTGGTGGCATGCACCTATAGTCCCAGCTACTCGGGAAGCTGAGACGGGAGAATTGCTTGAACCCGGGAGACAGAGTTTGCAGTGAGCCGAGATCCGGCCATTGCACTCCAGCCTGGGTGACAGAATAAGACTCCATCTCAAAAAAAAAAAAAAAAAAAGATGACATTAGTTTGTCCCAATCCTGGTGTAGCGTAAGGAAAGCAGATGCCCCTAGTTATAGGTCAAAGCAACTCACCAAGGTTGCTTACATTGCTGTTTTTAAACCATCCACAAAGAAAATCACATGCAGGCCACACTGTCCTCACCGCAATTCAGTGGAGCCTCATACCATCTGGATCCCTGTTTTCACCGATAAGAACCGATAGTGGTTTCTGTTGGTATTTTTTGAGACAGGGTCCCGCTCTGTTGCCTAGGCAGGAGGAGTGCAGTGCTGTGATCACAGCTGACCGCAGCCTTGACCTCCTGGGCTCAGGCAATCCTCCCACCTCACCCGGCTGAGTAGCTGGGACTACAGGCATGTGCCACCACGCCCAGCAAATTTTTTGTATTTTCCGTAGAGACAGGGTTTTGCCATGTTGCCCAGGCTAGTCTTGAACCCCAGGGCTCAAGGGATCCACCCACCTCAGCCTCCTAAAGTGCTGGGATTACAGGCATGAGCCACCTTGTCTGGCAGAGCTAATAGTTTTTTTGTTTGTTTGTTTTTTCCGAGGAGTTTCCCTCTTGTCGCCTAGGCTGGAGCACAATGGCACGATCTCAGCTCATTGCAGCCTCCACCTCCCAGGTTCAAGTGATTCTCCTGCCTCAGCCTTCTGAGTAGCTGGGATTACAGATGTATACCATTACACCTGGATAATTTTTGTATTTTTAGTAGAGACAGGGTTTTGCCATTTTGTCCAGGCTGGTCTCGAACCCCTGACCTCAGGTGATCTGCCCGCCTTGGCCTCCCACAGTGCTGGGATTACTGTGAGCCACTGTGCCTGACCCAGCGGAAATGATTTTTTTTTTTTTTTTTGGAGGCGGAGTTTTGCTCTTGTTGCCCAGGCTGGTGGAGTGCAATGACATGACCTCAGCTCACTGCAACCTCTGCCTCCTGGGTTCAAGCAATTCTCCTGCCTCAGCCTCCTGAGTAGCTGGGATTACAGGCATGCATTACCACGCCCAGCTAATTTTTTGTATTTTTAGTAGAGATGGTGTTTCTCCATGTTGGTCAGGCTGGTCTCAAACTCCCAACCTCAAGTGATCCTCCCACCTCGGCCTCCCAAAGTGTTGGGATTACAGGCGTGAGCCACAGCGCCTGGCCTGTCATTTAAAATTCTATCTAAGGTTGTTGTTGAATTTGGTATAACCTCTATCAAGTTCTCTTGATATAAATACAAGCTATAAAATTGGAAAGAATATTCCCCTAGATTGCCTTCTGGCCCCAAACTGTGTTTTATGTTCATGAGATGCATACTTGTGGTGTCAGAAGCCTGGCATGCATTTATATCATGATGCAGATTCTGGCCTGCACCATCATGTCCTGATGCCCATCGGGTTGGCACGGAGAGGCCGGGAGTTTTCCTGGAAGCCATTCCTACATCAGGATGAGTAGCAATAACTTCAACTATGCACAGACACGTCTGCAAATCAGATGAATGCGTTCTACCAAGTCCGACTAAATGTATCCCTAACTCAACTTGCCTTAGCGCGTTCCCCAAAATGCTCACAGCCACTTCTAGGACCCCCTAACACAAGGGGTGTTAGAGCAGAATGCAAATGGTCTTACTCCCCTGGAGTTACAACATTTTATTTTATTATTTATTTTTAAAAATTTATTTATTTAACTTTAGGTGCATACTATATCTGGCATTTCTCCCCATATTATCCCTCCCCACCCTCCCCTCCCTCCCCAACAGCTTACTTTTAGAAATTGTATATATAAACACATGCACATGGGTAAGGGTCCTTGGAGGGCCTTGGAAGGGGCCGGTGCAAATGAGGGCTTCTGAAGCTTCAACCCCATTGGCCTCACTGCACAGCCGTAGCTGATGGGGTGGGAGGATGCTAGTCAGGCTCTTGCTGAGAAGACCAGCACAAAAGGCCACAGTGCCACGGTCTGCAGTCCAGTGACTTGCTGTCTGTGTCACTCTGAAGGAGTGGTGCGGGGTGGGATAAATACAGCCCTGAGTGGCAGCTCAGAGAGAGCCAGCCCCAGTACCCACAGTTACATCGCCCTCCTGGTACAGCCTCATCATGATGAGTTTCAAGAGATAATTCAACAACGTGTGTACTTTCTTAAGTTTTTGGATGCTAGAGTATTGTGGGTTTTGTTATTGCCCTGTTTTCGTTATTACTGTTTCTACTGCAGACGGCTGGTCAAACTTGGTGTTTTCCAATACATCTGTGAACAAAGATTGCACTTAGATAACGTCTAAAATGCAGGGCCAGCTGGGTGCAGTGGCTCACGACTGTAATCTCAGCACTTAGGGAGGCCAAGGCAGGAGGATTGCTTGAGCCCAAAAGTCGAGACCAGCCTGAGCCATATTGTGAGACCCATCTCCACAAAAAAATTTAAAAATTAGCCTGTAGTCCCAGCTATTTGGTAGGCTGAGGCGGGAGGATACTTTGAGCTCAGGAGGTCAAGGCTGCAGTGAGCCATGATCACACCACTGCACTGGGTGACAGAGTGAGACCCTGTCTCAAAAAAATTATAAAATAAAATAAAATGCAGTGACACTTCCACTCTCATATGCTGCGTACATGGATTTAGATGCCACAAAAGCAGCATTTACTTGTGGAATTACTGTTGTTACCCATTTGGGCCCATTTGACTCTGCCTGGAAAAATTAATCTGTTTCACGGTTGCTCGCAGGGAAGGATGTAGGCCCCGGGAGATCCTGGTTCAGCAATGACTGTCTTATGTAACAGAGTCATTCTCTTTATGGCCACCTTAGGAACCGCTAAGGAGCATAATAAGAAATACACAGAACTGATCGTAGAGCTGCCCTTTCTCCCGGCAATTCAGACGGGAAAAGGTAAAGCCACACAGCCCGAGCCCTCTTGCTTAAGAACACATCTCAGTGTAACCACCAAGGCCACCGTGATAACCAGAGCCAGTGCGGAGGCGTGAACCTCAGCGGCTGTCCAAGATGCTTCTCTATCACTGCCTGGTCTACCCCGATCAGGACTATTTTGTAAACACCCTTCCTACTCAATGCAATCAGAATTTTAGGGATGATGCTTAAGTAATTATCTTTTTTCCCTCCTCCCTCCTTATTTTCTCTTTCCTCTGAATTGCTGCCAAAGTAACTAGAGTCATATAATTATAGAGCTGGAAGCTCAGAGGGAGAGGCTTTGATCTTGATGACCCCACACAGGAGGGACTTGAAGAAATGTGAACAGCTATCCGTTGCTGATCCCACGCATTGACTTACTGTGCACCCGTGCTGGCAGAGGGTTCTGTTAGAAAGGCTGTACCTCTCTGTGTCTCCCATAAATGAGATGAAACCTGGGGAAGGGAGTGTTGTTTTAAATTAGAAAGGCTCTGGTTTTTATTTCATACTAAACAAATCCCGTAGTTTACAAGCCCTGTGACCCTTTAAGAGTTAACCAGCAGTTTTTAACATGCTACAAGGGGTGGGGGAAAGATAGCTGCCAGGATGGGGGCTTTGAAAATATGAGACATCTGTCAATAATAACCTTTGGGTATTTCACCTGTGGTTGCTTCTTTATATTACTTTGTTTTGTGTGTGTGTGTGTGTGTGTGTGTGTTGTGTGTTTTGAGACAGTCTTTGTCGCCCAGGCTGGAGTGCAGTGGCGTGATCTCACCTCACTACAACCTCCATCTCCTGGTTTCGAGTGATTCTTCTGCTTCAGCCTCTTGAGTAGCTGGGAGTACAGGCACTCACCACAATGCATGGCTTATTTTTCTATTTTTAGTAGAGATGGAGTTTCGCCATGTTGGCCAGGCTGGTCTTGAACCCCTGACCTCAGGTGATCTGCCCTCCTCCGCCTCCCAAAGTGCTGGGATTACAGGCGTGAGCCACCACACCCAGCATATATTACTTTGTTCTAAAATTAATTTAGATCTGGCATCCTGTTTTTGTCCCTCAAATGTTATTTTACCAAAACATATATTATAGGGACAAGAGGCAAATGCACGGCCAAGTTGAATGACATTATTCCCCACTCAACAGCTTTTGTTTTTATCTAGAATTTGTACATATGGCTTTGGAAACCTCATCCAATACCAAGTAATGAACATGCATGAGGATATTACATATTTTTCAACCTGGAAGCCCAAGATTTCAAATGCTTTGGTTTATCGCAGAGAACACAGCTCTCAAATTTGCCTCAATGAGTGCTGCAGGAGGTACATTCACTCCCTGCTAACCCAGAAGACTGAATTTTCTTCCCCAGAAGGAAGAAGGGTGGGGGAGAAGTGGGGATGGTTAATGGGTACAAAAAAAAATAGAAAGAATGAATAAGACCTCACATTCCATAACACAACAGGTGACTATAGTCAATAATCATCGAACTGCACATTTAAAAACAAGGAAAAGAGTATAACCCGATTGTTCATAACATAAACGCTTGAGGGGACAGATACCTCGTTTTCTATGACGTGATCATTCTGCATTGTACGCCTGTATCAGAGCATCTCATGTGCACCATGAACATGTGGGTACACCTACTATGTACCCACAAAAACATTAAACATTTAATCTTTTTTTTGAGACAGGTGCAATCTCATCTCACTGCAACCTCTACCTCCTGGAGTCAAGCAATCGAGGTGCCTCAGCCTCTGGAGTAGCTGGGACTACAGGCATCTACCACGACACCAGGCTAACTTTTTGTATTTTTAGTAGAGCTGGGGTTTTGCCATGTTGGCCAGGCTGGTCTTGAACTCCTGACCTCAGATGATCTGCCTGCCTTGGCCTCCCAAGGTGCTGAGATTACAGTCATGACCCACTGCGCCTTGACAAAAAATTTAAAGAAAATTGTTTTTTCTTTAAATTTAAAGAAAATTTTCTCCCTCTGAAAATTGTTTTTCAGAGGGAGCCCATTTCCTATTCTGCTACACAGATAGCCAGGCCTGACTCGGGCTCCGTTTGTATACCCTGTCCCCTCAAGAAAGAAGCAACGACGTCACCGGGAAGAATATCTGTTTATCTTGACAATCAACATAGATCTATATAGCTGATTTTGTGCCAGCAATAGGCTCCAGTCACAACAACACGAGATTCCAGGCCATTTTGACTGCCATGCTGGACACAGACTGGTCACAGTGAGTAAGAGAGCCCATGTGTCCTTATGAGTTGTCTGTGAAGAAAAATACATGGGAAGAGGGGTAGATGTGAGTTCTGGAAGAGTGGAGATGTGTTGGGAATTTTCCAGGTTCCTCAGTTAGAAGGAGAGCTCAACGATGTTGTTCTCTGGAGCCCAAGACCCCAGGAGGCGCTATGAGTCCCGTGGTCCCAGAAAGCTAAGAATGAGGGAAGAGTCCATAGGGCTTTAAAAATCTCTGATCACTCATCCCCACCGAATGAAATTTGGGATTCAAAAGCTCTGATGGAAATGAAGCAGACTTTAGGAGGTCTGGGTTCGGGGGTGCTCCAGAGCTGAATGTGAAATATGATTTGTTCCAGAAAGTCCTGGCAATGTGGTGCAGCAAATTTGATCAGCACCAGACGTCCGACCTGTCTCAGGAACAGTGCCAGGCGTGTGACTAGACTGCAAAGCAGCTTGTGTTTGTGGGGGAAATGACAGGCACAGGAAGGAAAAGCTGAGAACACTGAAACTGTTCCTAATCATGCGGAGGGGCACGTTGGCTGGAAGAGGGGATTGAGCAGAGGGGCTGTCGGAATGGCATAGGCTTGTCATGTGATCTGGAGGGGCCCCAGATCACAGGGGAGACATCAAGGAGCCCCAGGAGACACGGATTGCATTTCTCCCCACCCATCAGCTGGGTGGGAAGCCGGAAGGAGCCTTTCACGGAACCGTGGGAGGGGCTCCTCTGTTGCAGAGGGGATGAACTGTAAGCAAGATGCTGACTGTTTCCAAATCCTTGACAGTCAGAGGCAGGCATGCTTCAGCCTATTGAGACACTTTATCCAAGAGGATTTCCACTCAGGTTCTGGCTTGAAAGAAATATTCGCTCCCAAATTTCCCCTCATCAAGAACGCTTCACTCTATAGAAGGCTAAGGCTTACAGGATGTCCCTGGAGACACATTTGTTTCAAGTAATCAACTGATATGTTTAGACTGAGAAGCTGATTTACTGGAAGACTACTGTCACCCCGCCTGGCCTACCATGTCGTCGGGTGTGGCCAGTGTTTATCAGACAGTGGTGTTTCCAGCGTAGGCCTGAATGAAAGAAGAAACTGAGGCCGGGCGTGGTGGCTCACGCCTGTAATCCCAGCACTTTGGGAGGCCAAGGCGGGTAGATCACGAGGTCAAGAGATCAAGATCATGCTGGTCAACATGGTGAAACCCCGTCTTTACTAAAAATACAAAAAATTACCTGGGCATGGTGGCACGTGCCCGTAATCCCAGCTACTCAGGAGGGCGAGGCAGGAAAATTGCCTGAACCCAGGAGGCGGAGGTTGCGGTGAGCCGAGATTGCGCCATTGCACTCCAGACTGGGTAACAAGAGAGAAACTCCGTCTCAAATAAAAAAAAAAGAAAGAAAGAAGAAACTGAAAGAAGGAAAAGAGAGAGGTGCCGGGTGTGGTGGCTCACTTCTGTAATCCCAGCACTTTGGGAGACTGAGGTGGGGGAATCACTCAGGGTCAGGAGTTCAAGACCAGCCTGGCCAACATGTTGAAACCCTGTCCCTACTAAAAACACAAAAATTAGCCGGGTGTGGTGGCGCATGCCTATGGTCCCAGCTATTTGGGAAGCTGAGGCAGGAGGATTGCTTGAACCCAGGGGGCAGAGGTTGCAGTGAACTGAGATCGCACCACTGCACTCGAGCCTGGGCGACAGAGCGAAACAGTCTCAAACAAAACAAAACGAAACAAAACAAAAACAAACAAAAAAATCGCGGACGTGCTTGTCAGCTTTGGGAAATGCCAAAGTTTCCAAAGCATAATCTCTGGAGGGCGGTTATGAGCCTGCAGAGAGAGAGACTTTTGACTTGCCCAGAGGAGGGGAGCAGAATGCTGGAAGCCTTTGGAGGGCTTGGAGGAAGTGTTGCTGGAATGGTCCCACCTTCAGCGCATTCAGGCACACACACAGCCCTGGGAGGAGGCTCCCAGCACGTTTCTAGTGCCTTTGCTCAGAAAAGCACTATGACATTAAGTGACATAGGAACCTTGTCCTTGGAACCAAGCCTAGGCTCAGGGACATCATGTGGGGGTGACATAAAGGAGGTTCCTCCGTCTCTGTGCTTGGGTTACAAGTAACTCTCGATATGGGAGCATGTTAACTTCTAGTCATCGGTGGCGGAGCTGTGACTTCCCAAGCTGGTGGCTGACCTCAAGAGGACTTTTATAGATGCTGTGGGACCGCAGCCTGAGAATAGAACAGCCACCTTCCTCTCTATCCCATGACCTCTAATGACCCGGTCACCAGCATGGCCTTTTCCTCCTGGAGAGGGAGAGGAACTTTGGAAAGTGCGGTCACTCTGCCGCTTCTGCAGGTCATCTTCCCAGATGTAAGCCTCATGATCTCAGTCCTCTGCTCTGTTTTGCATGTTGTTTCTGAAAGATTTAAAAAAATTACAAACTACTGTACAGAAGAAAATAATCTACAGACAATAAGTTTTGAAAATAATATAGCAGATATCTAAGTAGCCACCACCCAGACTGGACAGATATTAACATTTTGCTCCATCCATATCAGATATTTTTTATTTTCATTTTTTTAAGACAAGGTTTTGGTCTGTCACCCACTGGAGTGCAGTAGCATCATCTTGGCTCACTGTGGCCTCAACCTTCCAGGTACAAGTGATCCTCCGACCCGGGCCTCCTGCATAGCTGAGACTACAGGAGCACACTACCACACTTGGCTGATTTAAAAACATTTTTCTTTT